CTTTTATTTGAAGCATTTTTCGCAATCTTTAAAAAAAATAATTTTCGTCAGCGTCAATACTTAATTGGATATTTCCTTCTATACTTTTTAGCACGTAGGTATTTATTATTAGCATTATTCTTCCGACGTCTGATTTTTTTTTAATTATAGGAAATGCGTTTTTCTAAGGTACATAAACTTTTGGAATTAACTGTATAGCCAATAGATCCTTAAAAGCGATCTCTTCTGTTAGTACGACCTAGATCGGGGGGCATCGTAGCGGTGCGTGATCTCATCTCAAAACGCACGATCATTTTCAATTACCTAGTTGCCAGTCCACTCGCGTGTGTTCGTTAATTCACGTGCGAACAACCTTCCAGATGCTGCGGACAAAACAGTTCCAACCGTTTTCCCTACGTTAGCGATTCTGCGTTGCTTTTTATTCATATGCTAATTCGTTCTGGCTGAACGGCTTTTTCAAAGATTTAATTAAACCCGAGAGCCGAAGGACGGGAAATATCAACTCACAAACTTGTTCTAGTAAATTCAAATGCAAATTACAAATTAAGAAATGTATATTAGGTGAAACGTAAACGTAATCGAAAACATACGCGTGAGAATTTAATAATTCATCGTCCAGGTAGCGATTTCAAAATTATTTTAAGCTGCATTATCACGTGCAAAGGCTATTAAACGCGATGCAAATCTGTTCTGGGAATCGCGGATCGTCTCGTATCGTGTTCCAGACTTATGCAACGCGTTCATGCGCGTCTGACTCATTGGCAAATAAAATCCGCAGCCTACGTATTACAAACTGTGACAAATGTAGAAATGAAATTTGCATAAAATATTCTAATAGACTAGTTCGAAAAGTCTCTCGACTGTACGATTCAAGAGTCTCTGGATGAGAAGACATCTGCTGATAAGCCTGACAATTGACTTGCTAATTAACGTCCCTATGATTCATCGTGGAAGTTTCACGTAGGAAAAGTTGATGGAAACGTTGCCACAGAGGAAATCTTATCAGTAACATAGGGGAGAGTTTGCAGACTTACAGAGCTTACAGAGCTTACACTGTTTTCGAAATCAGAGAAAGTATACTAATTTATTCTAGAAGAATTCCGAAATAACGATCTATAAATCATTGATCGAGGGGCTTTACTCTCGGTTTGAGAAAGGAAGATAACACGCGTATCTCTGTTAAAGGTCATTGGGGCAGTGCCGATTAGCATGTAATATTTTATTTCCTGCAGACTCGTCAACACAGTCGTAAACACGTGTATTTTATATGTAACCCTGGTTTACGTAATCCCAAACTGATTAGCTTCCTGATTTAATTGCACATTAAAAATATGAAGGATCGAGCAAGAAGGCAAAGGGATTTTTGTCAACTTTTTATTACGAAAAGAATCTTATGTACATATGCGAATCACTTCTCTTTGTATTGTATAAGTAGACATCTACCGTCATAACAAACATTAATCTATGATCCGTAGTAAATTCCTTAAAGTATAGGTTCCTTTCAATTTCTGTTAAGTCTTGATTGTTAGCGCCAGAGACGACGTTAGGCAATAAATAAATCACGCGCACCGTTGGTACCGCATCTTATTGCACGATTTCCACGAGAACGGGTCGGCTCTTTATTCGAGTATTTACTATATGTTTAGAAACGTTGCGGGCTTTTAAGTAATTAGTGCATTTAAGTCACAACTCCACTTATCGTTGAATTGATCAGTCTCTTTCACTGGCAGAACGATTCTTTTAATTATTCCAAGGGAATCGAACTTGCATACGTTTTAAATAAAATCTGACATAATTTTAATGAATTGAAATACTATACGATTCGAAGATAATACTGGATAAATGAAAAGGCTGAGTCTGCCAATGAGAGAGTAAATTCACATTTCCCTTTGTCTAAAATCGCGTCTTTCTCTCTCTCTCTCTCTCTCTTAGAATTAACTCTAGAAAAATACAGTCTGTTCATATTTTTTTCATCCTATTGCTCGGACCAATCAGTGAGCTTCCGAATAAAAATACAATCTGCCCGCCGCACGAGCAGCTATTTAAATAGCATCTGCATTCGAGTAAAGACTATCTAAACATTTTTATTTTGGCTAAAACCCCGCAGCCACGGGATCCCCAAGAAAAAAACTGATAAAAAAATTAAGACAGTGCATTCTATCTATGCGTCACGAGGTGACCGAGTCTCGTTTAAGTAATAGTGGCAAGGTGAAGAGTTAACCGGTAGTGGATGTCAATTAGATAATTAGTTAATTTCGTTTGTCCGTTAAAACGTGCTGCCTAAGCAAGAATAGTTCATTCCCTCTTATCTTGCTTTGCATTGTGCAAATAATCTATCTGATCGTCCTCATCTGGAACCAAAGAAAAAAAATTTAGTTAATTATTCCATTTATAATTAAATCATTTGCCTGATTATTTACCTTCGCCCTCGTCTTCACCCTCGACCAATTGCAAGTCGCTGTTCTTCTGCTGGGGTTCTTTGTCGTAATCGACTCCTTCGTACTGATCGTCACCAGCCTCGGCATTCCTTTCAGCGCCAGCATCCAATCTAGAAATTCGAGAAACTCTCAACAAAACTCTTTACAAGGAATATGTTATAATATAAACCTACCCAGGAAGTCGAATATGATTCTCGTCCCCGATTTCCTGTACTCCAGGCCCGACGTTGAACCACCCGCTCTCTCTTCTATCCGGCAACGGATCATCCCTTCTAGCCGGGAACGGAGGGACCAGGTTCCCGTTCTCCGGTTCCTGTTCCTTGCTCTCTACGTTGTTCTTCTGCTTCGGTTCCTCTTTCTTCTTCGCCGCCTCGTCCTGCTTCTCCTGATTGTCCGGTTTCTGGTCTATCATCACCGGAATCGGTGGCACGCCGACCGGAAGCTTGCCCTTCGAAACTGGCTTTGCGATCGGTATTTTGTCTCCAGACGTGAACACTGGGTTCCCGCTGCTGGCTGGCGTCGAAGTCTCCAGCTTCACCGCCGGGATTGATTTCATGGAACTGGTTGCCACTGTGCTCTGTAAAAAGAAATCGACCATCTTCATCGTCCCTTCATATTGCATACCTTTAATCAGATCCAGTTTTAGAGTTGAAATAATTTTGATTGGAAAATCATAAATCGTTTCTTCGGTGCTCCCTCGTCTAATATAATTACATGCACGATTAATTGACCTACTTTGTAATTCTACTTTCGTCTCATACAAAGAACACAACATTTCAACGAACAATTTTGCAAAGTCCACTTACCTGTATACAGAATTCTATTAGCAATGTTTCCTCCGAAGCTACAGAAGCGTGTGTAAAAAAAAAAATCGCATAAGCATGCTCTTTCAAAATTAGAAGAAGCCTCGAACAAGATCTTTTTTCTAATACAATTTTAACTATGAAGCAGCTTTGTTTTATTTTGTAAAATAAGCTGAAGCGTAAAGTGAATTCTCTACGTCTTAGAACAGAAAATTTCAAACTTGTACTATATAGATTATTTAATAATTTGCGTATCTTATGGTTCGAGATTGAAAAAAAAATCGCAGCGGACTAGTACGAGTTAAGCAGTTTATTTTGTTAGGTTTGTGCAAGGGTGCCAGAAAAAATGCAAGCGGATTAAAATAATAACAATTTATTAATGCATCGGTTAACACTGACGTACAGGCACATTCAATACAGCTTGCAAACTACACGTACATTTCTCTTCTGATCATTTTCCTCTGAAACGACCGGAATTGTTTGCTTCAACAGGTATTCGTTACACAAAGTGTCTGAAGTATTGCACTCGAAACACCATTAAAAAATACAAATAAAATTGGATTGTCGATTTTTTATCCTAGAATATCTTCACACATCGTCACGTCATGCAGAAAATTAATACCTATTCTATAGAATTTATCAGACTACCATACAATCTGCCAATTAACAACCATTAGTCAATATAAATATTCTTGATAAAACGTTTTATCTCAAACCACCAGTGTAACATTCTATTCACCATAATTTATTAAAAAGAAGAATACTCGACTTATAGATTGCTATAAGTTATTTTCAAATGACCTACAGCACCCAGTAAAACCATGCTAGTCACGTGCAACTAAACTCAGTCCCTTAGTATTAACCGTATCCCGAGATTTCTCGTCTGAAGACGCAGAACGGTTAATTATTGAAACTAGCGAAAAAATTTTTATACAAAAGTTGTAGGCATTGAAGTCCTCTACAAGAAAGGTTCTATACACTTTTCTCCTACTTCGAGTATTTAACAAGTTAAGTATGATTAAATAGTTAAGTATGATCAATTTTATGCAAACTTTTAATAAAAAATTTCATTTTTCCTAAAGTACTTCTAAATTGTTAAACTTACAGAAAAATTGCATAGAACCTTACCCTTAGTATTAACCGTATCCCGAGATTTCTCGTCTGAAGACGCAGAACGGTTAATTATTGAAACTAGCGAAAAAATTTTTATACAAAAGTTGTAGGCATTGAAGTCCTCTACAAGAAAGGTTCTATACACTTTTCTCCTACTTCGAGTATTTAACAAGTTAAGTATGATTAAATAGTTAAGTATGATCAATTTTATGCAAACTTTTAATAAAAAATTTCATTTTTCCTAAAGTACTTCTAAATTGTTAAACTTACAGAAAAATTGCATAGAACCTTATTTGTAGCTGACGACTAGATCTACAACTTTTGTCTGAAACATTTTTCGCTAGGACGACAAAATCGTTCTTGCACTAACAATTTTGTTTTTTAATTAAAGGCACTTCTTCCCTCCGAAATTTATGATAATTATTTGATCACGTTTATAAAAATTTGTTCTCCAAAAATGAGAGTAGCTGCGACCTGAGGTGAATCACTATAAATCCTACCACGCATTCAGACCATTCTGAAAATCTGATTTAAAATCCCATCGACGTTATTCTGAGCATTCTCCAGCTTTTCATCAACCTTTTCAACGTCCCGTTTTCCAACCGCCGGTACCTTCAGTATTCTAGGCGACTGGGTGGTGTTCTTCTCTTTTTCATTCTTATCGTTTGGAACCTCGTTATAATAATCGTCGTTCGCCGGTAGATTCGTGGGCGGTAAAAGGCCCTGTTGTTCCTGCTGGTCCCTCGGCTTATAGCCAATCTTAATCTCAGCCGTATCCCCGTTCCTCTGACGTTTCGCTTGCAACTCGTAAGGCAGCGGCAACGCGTCCGGCTCCTTGACCTCGTTCGGTCCGACGGGCACGATGTTCCCGTTCTTCTGAGCGAATCGAACGTTGTTCACCTCGTTCGCCCGTTGCTCGTTCGATTGCAGCGGCTCGTCGATCACTTGCTGAGGTGCGTCAAGCGGATTTTTATCGTCGCTCGTCGGCGGACTTACCTGTTGCTGTTGCGAGGGAGACGGCTGCGCCGCGTTCCCCGTTGCACCAGACCTCGACTGCGACTCCGGCTGCAGAGGATTCGGTATTCTCATGGACGGAGAAGTCGCCTTCTGCAAAGACTTCTAAAGATAAAATAGTATTACAAAGTCAAGTCGATAATAAATCAAATCTTCGAATGAAAAAATAGAGTAAGCAATTAAGCATAATTAAAAAATCAATTAAACCGTAAAACAGTCAGTCGAAACAGGCACCTTTGTATTTTTTATATGAATTTTCTTACAAACTTTGTAATATAAAAATCATACCTTGGCATTCTCCAATTCCTGCTTCAACTGAATCACTTCCTTCCTCAGATGCTCGACTGTGCTATCAATGTTCCCATTACTCTTCAGCATGTCATTGTACTTTTGCTCTAGCTCGGTCTTCTGCGTGTCCAGTTCAAGGAACTTGGTCTTCAGGTTCTCCAAAGCTTTCTCTTTATCTTCCTTAGCTTGCCTGATGCGCGTACGGAGATCCCTAAGCGTGGCCTCCAGTCGATTAGTATCTTCCAGTGCTTGTTGCTCATGCTTCTTGCACTCCTCTCGAAGGTCTTGGTGCTCGGTCTGCAGCAGCTTGTACGTCTGCTGCAGAGAATTGAACCTCTGCATAGCTTCTATACTGTCCTTGTCCCTGAGGGACTTCTCCCTCGTCGCTCGCTGCTGGAGTTCCTGCTTCACCGCGGCGTTCGAGCTCTTCTCCTCAGCCAGAGACTTCTCCAGTCTCATTTTGTACTCGAATATCACTAAAAGATTAGTTTTAAAACATCGTTAAGAGTTTCGACTGAGTTTCTCACTTTACAAGTATTATCGT